GTTTATTTGATCGAGCCTCACCCTCAAGTCTTGTGTTTATCCCTTGGGGTAGATACAGGATTTGAGGTTGAGTGCTCTTTCATTTAAACTATGGAAAATATGAGGTCAGTTTGATTTCATATTTTTCTAAAATTATATATATATACGTAAATTAAAAAGTCCTTCCGAAGCGGGTGACGGGATTTCGATTCCGGTTGCCGACAGCTTCTTACGGGCGACCCCAAACATTAACTTTTTCCCCTTTTAAGCGCCGACATGATTTTATGTAGCATCCAAGTTACTCCCAGTCTGTACTTCTCTTAATATAAGTGTTTGAGTTCTGTAATATTTCTACTTATTATAGTTTTGATGACTGATCCTTTTTTTTTGTCTTTTTGTAATGTATATGCAAACATAATGAAGTTTTATCTATCTTGTACTGTATTTGCATGAATGAGCACTTGAATAGTTCAAATTATATAAATGTTCATGATCTTTTATGGTGAGCAGATACTTGTCTATATTTTTTTCAGCTGTGATATGTATTTTGTTTGCTGACAAGTAAATCTGCATACCATCTTAATTTTTAATAGGTTACGGTTGAAAAGATTGAAGCTCTCATGGAGTTAGCACAGCTGAAGCGTGAATACCAGATGCTACATGAGTATAAATTTTACTATTCTCTTTAGAAAACTTTGATGACCGGATATCCATGTTAGTTTCTTCAATATCATCTAAAATAAAAAGGGCGTCATTTATTTTTGTTTAGGACCTGAAATGCAACTGCATATGACTTCAGCAGATGCCTTGCTCATTTTTTATTTAAATAGTTTTACTTGCATATGTAGCATGTGCGCATGTGGAACTGCTCTACCGCAATTACTATCATATTTTTGCTAGTAATTTAAAAGCTTTGCTGTGAGGGTGTATTTATGACTGCTAAATTTTAATAACTTTAATGGATTTTATGATTATTTATTCTAGTTAGTGGCTTAAGATCATTACTAGGTACATATTCTTTGCTCAAAAAATTCATACCTTGGCCCCTCATGAGGGAGTTTTTATAGAGTTTTGGATCAAATTTCTAGAGGATGGAATCAATTTGAGACGGTAGTACATGGAGATTTCGTCGTGATTTTGTGTAAACTTTTAAAATTTGGTTTGAGGCTTTCTACCGGCACAGACCTTATGATTATTTATTATTTCTAATAACGAGAGAACACTCAATTAACGATAATCATTAAAGCATTAATTGTTTAGCATATGCAGCAACAATTTTATTTAAAGGTTAAAAAATTTATTGTTGTTAGTTTTGACAAAAGTATTACTTTTTGTGAGGGCAGAGGAACACTTACGAACCTTTCTAAGAAAACATCTTGGAAGCGCTGGATGGACAAAGAGCTTGGGGCACGTTTCAGCAATGTTAAAGTTAGTACTGAAAGGAATGTGACTGCCAATGAGAACCATTCCATGGATTTGGCCAGGTTTGTAAAATTACTGATTTTGGAACAATATCTTCTTATGTGGAGTTCTAAGTTTTGTGCTTCTGGATAAAACTGGTGAAGGTTTATGCTAGTCATTATTGAGATGGTTGTTTGAAAGGTTGTTTATTTCATTGTCTGTAAAGAAAGAGCGTAATAAAATAATGACTAACAATGATCTTCAAAGAATTGTTTGTTTTCATTATTTTCCTAGGATAGCGTGGAAATTGTTACATATTTCTCTCGTTTTCTTGTTGCTAAGTATATATACCTAATGTGTTACCCCATATACCTTGACTTGCTGAGCATTTTTTGTTGAGCTCAAACTTGAAAACCTCAAACCCTAAATATGGGTTTTTGTTTTTGAGAGAAGAGATGTCATGTGATTGGGGGTTTAAGCCGTTGACTTATGTAAATTTAAAATTTTCATTTAACGCCAATAGGCCTAATGTTACTTTGTTTTTTCATATTCTCCGCTGTATTCCTTAATGATGGAGGACAATCATGAAAGAACGAGGAAATTAACTAAGATAATTAAATTATATCAGAAAAGTGTAAGAGAATGTAATCTTAAACAGAGTTCTTGAGCAGTGGCATCATATTCTTGAAGGGTTTCAATCTAAATAAGAAGTTTATTCATGTCAGAATTTGTTCTATTTGACTCATAATATATTGTTTGTAGATATAGTAGAAACAGCAAATCACTGACAAGATATAAAGCTAATTAATTTAATCACATAAACTAAAATCACTCCAATCGAAAATAAATAATCATGAAGCTCAACTTATATAAATGTATTTAATACCCTAAAATAATTAATGAAATGAAATTTTTAAGCTTTAATTCCTGAGAGAAACCTTGTTGCAAACATAAACTATACAGGAATAAGATGAATATCTGATAATCAATTCAGGCTGCAATTCATTCTACCTTGGAGAGTGGTAGTGTAGATTATTCAGAAATTCCAGTACTGGGCCACTTCAATTTGGCTAACTCGTAGAAATTGCAATGTAAACACCAATGTTGGAGCTAAGATTGGAATATAAGAAATTTTACCCGCAAAAACATAGAGATAAAGTATTAGTCTTGATTGGGTAACAGATCCTCAATATTGAAAGTAGGATTCATGACTTATCAATAGCATTTTTTGTATATAATTATAAGATCCTGCGTTTCTAATGTAAGGTTTATAGGCTTTTGTAGGAAGTATTACCTAGGGGCAGTAAAGTTGTGTATAGGAAAGATGTGAACTATCATGAATGCTTTCAGACTACATTATGTACAACTGTTCCATTTCTGTTGCCAAAATGCAGTCAGTAATCTGATCATTTACTGTGCAGCGTAATATAATGCATGCCGATGTGAGGCCAGGTTTTAGTTACTTGGGGAAGAAAACACGACTAGTTGGAAGAGGAAGTGTAGGGTCTAACATGAGGAAGTGTAGGGTCTAACATGAGGGAGTTGAAGCGAGCAGTCGGAAAGCAGACAGAAGGGAGACAAATCGAGAAGGTGGGGAAACCGAACAGGTAAGTTCGCCTATAAATTTGTCGTGAGGGAGGCGGAAAGTTATAGGAGAGTCGAACGGTGCAAGTTAGTGCTTCCTCGTAGTTGGGGACAATGGATGATGACTCCTTTGTCGAGCAGCGGAGGAAGGAGCGATGGAGGAGAGCTCGTGCCCTAGCCTACTATCGAAGAAGAGTGGAAAGGAAGGAGCATCACAAAGGAGGACGGATTTAGATCATGCTTTCTTGCTGTAGGGAGTTGAAGCCGAGCCAGGAAGAAGAAAGTCGCGTGCAGAGGCATGGATTAAGGCTTATAATAATAATAATATGATATATATATATATATATATATATTATGAAAGGCCCAAGGGCTGATTTTATTGAAATAGAAAAAGGATACGTAAAGGTTGTATGAGAATAGCCCAAAGGAGGCACCCTACCATACGATACAAGTACAGTAATACCCCAACAAAAAGATACAGATAGACTCAATAAAATGTAAAACAAATTTAAAACATGCATAAAACAAGTAGCTAGAGACGAGCCAACTACTTTTTATATAAAATATAAAACAAGCGGGATTAGATAAAGTAAATTTAATACTTAATCAATGCAAAACTAATAGTTTATTAAAATTATAAATTAATTAAATTTTATACATGTTTATTTTAGGCTTTCAATTGTTAAAAGAGTCGACATCAAACAACATATTAATCGACATTTGAGTGAATGCTCCTATTCTTTTGTTATAGTAATGTTTTGTTTCTTCTCAGCCAAACGTATTTTTAGTTACTGTTGTGGTACTATATACCCATGATTTATAGTTTTGATGAATTTTATTCATATTGTATGAATGCCCTGTATGTTCTGATTTCTTAATTTATTATTGAATCTTGTACAAGAATATTGGCTGATATGAAATTGAGAATGAAATATTTATTATTAAAAAGGTAGTATTTTTTGGCATGTTTGTATGTACATATTTGGCTATGATAGAGTTACCCATTGATGGTATTAATGAGAGAACGTTAAGATACTTGTGCATGTATATAGAAAATGATATTGATATTGATATATATTAATTGACACAACTTTTATACGATGCTCGTGTGACGGTTGTATGGATATATAAGGATATTGATATGTTATTGATATAAGAAAGTTTTTTTAATAACATCAAGTATTTTAATTTATTAAAAGCTTGACTGGCATACATATTGCTTCTTTTTTTCTTATTAACGTGATTTATGAGTATGAGTATGCATTGACTTGTTTAGCTTATTATTTTTTTTAAACTAACTTTTCAAGTCAATTAATTGATTAAAAGATGAACAATGGACGAAAAAACATTTATAAAAAATGCAGACAATCAATAATAAAGTAAATGTAATTTTATTATTTTAATTTAATTTAATTAGTAGCTCTTTCATCTGTTAATTGTATATCAATATTAGAAATTTAGTTCTCATCGTTCGACCTTCTGTTTCAATCTTGGTTAATTTCATGTCCTGAATCGGGTCGTGACAAAAGTGGTATCCGAGCGAAGGTTTAGGATTAATTAATGAAATATAGATAAAAGAATTAATTGGATAATTATAAAATTTAAAATTAACTCAAACTAATAATTATTATTCATTTGGGCATATTGATATGCCTGAAATCATAGAAGAAGAGAATCTGATAGAAAACAAAGAAATACAACATATTATTAATGTAAGCATGAATGCTTTCACCTAAATGATGGCAATGATGACTCGGTTGATTCAGGAGTTCAAATCGCAGTTTATCGAAATGGATACAGTCTTTGTTGATAAGTACTTGAAGATATTTCAAGATTTGTGTTTATCCTTGTTCAAGGGAACTGAAGACCCAATTTAAGCAGAGAATTTGCTGATGAGGATAGAGAAGATACTAGAAAGTATGGTTTGTCCGGATGAAAGAAGAGTATTGTTGGCGGTGGTTGTGTTGGATGGAGAAGTCGAAAGATGGTGGTGTGGACAGCATTGAGACTTTCTAGGGAACATACTAATATTATGGTCAAATGAGAGGAATTTAGGGAGTTATTAACGGAATGGTTTGTACCCCTATTCACTCAAAGGCTGATACAAGGCAGGTTCATCAAGTTGAGACAATGAGAGAATTATGCATTATGTTGTGGAATTTACTGCATTATCGAGGTATTCGTCACAGTTGATTGCTACCGCAGAAGAAAAGTGTTGTAGATTCCTTTCGAGATTAAAGGACTTGATTCGACAGTCGTCGGTATCTTTAGGGATTGATGAATATTCAGTATTATTGGAACGAGCTAGAAGAGTAGAGATCGACCATCAGTTTACCTAGAAGCGTAAAAAGATGCACTAGAGGAAGACTACAGGAGAACATGTGGATCAATCATAGGGATCCAATGAGAAGAAGTCCAAGAAAAATTTGAGTGGATTTAGCAAATGTATGACTCAGGATACAGTAGTCTCTGTGCCAAATGTGGAAGACAACATAAAAATGAAGGTTTGATGAGCTCTAACACTTGTTATTGGTGTTGTCAGTATGGTCATATAGCAAGATATTGTCCACCTTTTGGTCAGAAAAGTGTTGAAAGTCAAAAATCAGGTGGAGCCCCTTCACTGAAGCATCTTGTGGAGAAAAAATGTAGAGTCTACAGCTATAGCTCCTACCCAAGATCAACCAAAACAACTTGTTCAACCTCGAGTATATTCTCTTACTCTTAGTGAGCCGGAAGAACCTATTGCTAATGGTAATGAGGTTTGATGATTTTGACGTTGATATAGATATCTATATATCTATATATCTATATCAACGTCAAAATCATCAAACCTCATTACCATTAGCAATAGGTTATATATATATATATATATTTATTTATTTATTTTTTGTTTGAACGCCCGAGGGTTATTTTTGTTGAAATTGAAATATTACATAAAAGTTGTATGAGATGACCCAATAAAGGCGCCCTCCTCATATGATACACAGACGCTAACATCCTAAAAAAAATAAGGCAGAGATAAAACTCTAAAATTCATAACTCGCAGAAATTTCATAGATAAAACTCTAAAATTCATAACTCGCAGAAATTCTGTTGCTAGGGACGAGCCAGCTTGGTCCTGCCTCTACCTCTGGTTCTAAGAACAGAGTCAGCTAACAAATTGTTGAGTGTCGTGTCATTATCCAAAGTTACTAAAGTATCATCCATTAAGTTCCCAAGCTGGAATGTGCCTCCATTATTCTTTTTCTTCCTAGATGTGTATACATTTCATTCCTCATCCAAAGATCAACAGATTGTCGGGCATTGAGAAGAGGATGAGCCCCTAGCTCCTGATTAACAGTAACAACATTCTCATTCTGAAGAGATGGAAATCTGTATCGTCAGCGCCTGATGTTTCCTGAGGTTGTGGAGTTGCGAGACTATCCTGATTATCGGACCGAAGAATATCCTTTGGAGGTAAGGATCTTGCAGTATTGTTTTCAACAGTGATAGGGACTGT